CAACCAAAAATTTAGGAAGTCCTGTTGCTTCATTTTAGGAAATCCAGAGCCAGAAGAGCAAAGAGGTCTGCCCAAGGTCTGATACATGTGACATGGCCAAAGAATGGACATTCCTTCTCCCAACTCAATCTCCATGTGCTTTTTCAGGTGGATGATCTCCCACTCCAGCCTGGGGGCCCCGAATGAGCAACCTGGAACCCAGCTCTGAGTCCCGCCCATGTCAGATTCAGTCCTGGAGCTGCACCTGGACACCATGCCAAACCCAGTTTCTGGGCTTTGCGTAGCTGCCTTATTAATTTGTTTCAAGTCAATGACAACACTCTCTAAATATAAGAAATGGTGTCCAGAGAAGGAAGAACAAATCTCAAATCTTGGCCGGGGGTGGGGTGGGGTTGGGGAGCAGGATCTGTTAGTAACATTCTGCCTTGAACTTTTTTACCCAGCTTAAAACATCAAATTCTTTCGAAAAATAGATTTCTTATTAGATTTCTAAATAGCCACCATCCATCAACCTCCCATTAACTGTAAATGGCTGTACTCAGAGCTCTAGATTTCCAGCACTCAGTTCACTCAGGAGACCTCAGACAAGCTCCAGATTTTAAATCCAACGTCCTCTCCCGTCAAATGCTCCGGAGTATGAGTGGCAGACAGTGAGCCTTCCACATGAGCTGTCTGCCAAAGTCCTCCGAAGGCATTAAGTCAGGGGAGGCTCAGGAGGCTGACCTCAGGAGTCAGGAGGGCTGGGCTTCCAGCAAAGACAACGGAAAATGTAACGATGAAGCAGGATGCTGGAAGAAGGGCTCATGAGGACACCATGCTTTGGGGTGGGGAGGAATGTCTATTTTTCTTGGATGGAAAATTAGGGCACCTGGCTATAGAGGAAATGGAGCTATAATACTGACTATATGTAAATGAGTGTTAGAGACTGTGGACTGTGGCACAGTCTACAAACAGGTCCATCGGTGGGCTGATGACTGGCAAGTCACACTACTCCCAATGGTTACTTCCTTGACATGTTCCCTCCTGATCTTCCTTCATAGTGGCCTGCTCACTGCCTTGGCTCCTTCTCCTGTTCCGAGTGCCTCTCCAGGCAGGGTGTGGGAAAAGAAGCAGGCAATGAGGGAAGTGTGGATGATTAGTAAGAGATGCAGGGCTTAAAGGAAATTCTCTCCTCCGATGGCCACGTGCCTAACTCATTTCCTTCTCATTCCATTAGTCACACAGAATGAAGCCTGCAACCACAGTGAGGGTGTGAGAGGAACCAGAGCTCATTATCCTCTTCCACATAAGAGCATTCTGGTCCACAGATGAATGTACCTTTGAGTGATTTTCCTGGGTGCCTCAGCCGGTAATAGACTCATTCTTGTAAGAAAGGTACAAGCAGTACAGAGGGGAGATCAGCTTAGAGAAGCTGACCCTCTGGTATCTTGTATGCATGTGTGGTCTAATGGAAAATATTCCATCTATCATAATTGTTTTACGTTCTGAACACTCTCAATTAAAATTCCCATTTAATTTTTGGAGGTTTTTAGGGTTTGTATGCAGGCAAGGCAGTGGGAATTATGTTTTATAAGCAAAGCCTGTTCCAAAACATGGGTTCTGCAACCATCTGCCACTAGAAAGGTTTAATGTGTATCACATTGAATGGGGAAGTGAATGCGTGCTACCAGCAGAATGTGAATCATCTGAATTCAGTCAGAGTCCACCCTGATGCTCCAGAGAGATATACAGTCAAACCTTTAAAAACTCAACCCTGTTACAGATACTGCCAGGAAGGAGTGGGCGAAGAAGCATATAGAAAAACACATTTCTAAACAGAAACTCCAGAGAATTCTGTGAATAACATTGTTGGGAGGGCTCATTCACTGTGCGTGGGTGGGCATTGGATTGTGGGGGTATATTTTTTAAATTCACAATCCTCATGGTTTCAAAAGGCCATGTGTCTCACAAAATTGAGTAATTCAGCCAGTTGCAGTTTTATCCATAATAAATCTCAAAAAGAGAGAAATTTACTCATTCATTCCTTCAACAAATATTGGGCTATACCTATTGGATATGGCCAACCTAGGAGTTGAGGATTCAGCAGGGAAAAAAATTAAAAAAAAATATCAGTTGGTGATAATCGGATCTAGTGGTTTGTCATATCTTGGAGACAGTGCATATCTGTTCGTTCTCTTGGCCGTCGATGGGATGTTCAGTGCTCTTCTCCAACACCACAACTCAAAAGCATCAATTCTTTTTCTGTCACCCTTATTCATTGTTCAGCTCTCAGATGCATAGCAAATAATTGGAAAGACCATGGCCTGAATCAGATGCACCTTAGTCCTTAAACTGATGTCATTACTTCTCAATAATTTGGATGTCCTTTGAACTGTGAAGAGAATGAGCAAATATGTCTTAAAGAGGGTGCAGCTGAAGTTCTCTTTAGTGGCAAGAACAATGAGGCTTCCCCTCACATACTCTGGGCATGTGGCTAGGAGGGGCTATTCCTTGGAGAAGGACATGATGTTGGAAAGGGCGGAGGATCCAGGTGGATTGACATGATGACTGCTGCAATGGGCTCTTGTGTGTCAGGAAGTGTGAGGATGGTGCAGGATAGAACAGGGTTCAGATCTTTTGTTCACAGGGTTGCTATGAGTCATGCTCAACTCGACAGCATCTAACAACACAAGTGGTTTCTCAGGAATAGTCTAGCTTGATGGATCCTGTTTGATGTCTGTCACAGATTGAATTATTTCTCCCAAAAATATGTGTCAATGAGGCAAAGCTAGGATTCTCAATACTATGTAATTTCTCAAAATGTTACAAATCTTAACTTCCATGATGTTAATGAGGCAGGATTGGAAGGGTTTATATAACAATGTAATAGTCTCCCATGATCTGAGATATGATCAGCAAATCAGTTGTTAGCATATTAGGGTGGGATACAAAATCCTTAATCAAGTAATATAGCCCTGTTTAAAGGGATGCAAAAATTCTTAATCAAGTAAAAGCCCTGTGTAAAGTGAGTTTCCCTGGGATGTTGTCCTGTAGCAGCAGAGGAGGGGTGGGCGGGGAGAAAAAGGCAACAATGAATAGAAATACAGAATCTCTGTAAACGTTCATTAAAATTAAGAAAATAATTTTTTTTAAAAAAAAAAGAAGTATTTTTATATGTTAGCATCAGGGAAGCCATTTTGTTCTGACAGCTATTTTTTTTATTTTATTTTATTCATTTTAATGAACATTTACAGAGATTTTGGATTTCCATTCATTCATTGTTGCACTTTTCTCCCTGCCCACCCTTCCCCCTCAGTTCACTCTTCTCTTTGAAAAGTAAAAGAAAAATTCCTTTATTGGTATATAATCCCCCCACCCCAAGTACACTCCACTATGCAACCTTAATTCTGGACTCTTGTGATAACCATAATACCCTATCATATATCACTTTTATATCATTCTCTCCCTCATCTGTTCCAATGCAGTATACATAATGTATCCAGTTTTTCTCAGTCTTACCCCAACCCTGATGTCTGTCCCATTCTACAACAGTGGCACTATGCAGTATTTGTCTTTTTGTGACTGAGATATTTCACTCAGCATAATGTCCTCCAGGGTCACCCATTTTGAATAATATTGCATGTGTTCCTTGTTTTTCAATGCAGCATAGTATTCCATTGTGTGAATATACCACAGCTTCCCTATCCATTCGTTTGTTGACAGGCACTTAGGTTGTTTCCAACTCCTTGCTATTGTGAACAAAACCACAATAAACATGGGTGTGCATATATCTGCTTGGATGTTGTTTATGGTCTCTTTAGGGTATATTCCCAGTAGTGGAATTGCTGGGTCAAACGGTGTCTCTATTTTCAACTTTTTTTTTTTTTAGGAAATGCCAAACTGCCTACCACAGTGGTTATTTTTTTTTTACTTTTTTAAAAAATTTTGTGTGTGTACTGTCAGATCAGATCTGATCTGACTGGTACAGGAGGAGATTGTTCCTCCTTCTCCAGCAGAGCATCTGGTTATTTGAACCGTGCACCTCTGGGATTGCAGTACACCTTCTTGCCTCTAGGCCACCAGAGCTCGCCTATTTTCAACTTTTTGAGAAAGCGCCACACCACTTTTCACAGTGGTTGCACCACTTTATATTCCCACCAACAGTGAATAAGGGTTCCAGTTTTTCCACAACCTCACCAGCATTTGTTGCTTGCTGTTCTGTTAAATTTTGCTATTCTGACTGGGGTGAGATGGTATCTCATAGTAGTTTTGATTTGCATCTCTCTTAGAGCTAGGGATTTTGAACATTTCTTCATGTGCTTGTTAGCCATCTGAATGTCTGACAGCTATTTTAAGAAATGTATGCATCAGTAATTTTGGCAATACCATGTTTTGCTGAGCTTTAAGTTCTAGTACATGCTGACCAAGCTTAGTTACCATTCCTTCTGCACCTAGCCCAGGGCCTGGACACCCATGAGAAGTCAGAAACAATAATGACTCCTGAATGTAAAAAAAATCTCAATTGACGACTGGAACAAACTTCGTGTAACCCCCATGCCCAATCTCTGTATATAAACTTGATCTTTGCTTCCTTTAGGGATCGGGACAGTTTAAGCACTACCTGACATTCTGGCTGCATGCTTTGTTGGTCTCTAAACTTTGGTTGTTTAGAATCTCATTATTTAACAAGAGAGAAAAGGAGAGAGCAGTGAACAGAGAGGTGGTGACCTCAGTACCATCAAGACAGAAGAGCTGGGAGCAGACTCATGAAGACATCCTGTAGATCCAAGTTTCTACATTAGGAAAGTCCTAGGACCAGTAGACACTGAGAGAAAGCCTTCTCCCAGACCCAGCCCGAATTTGGACTTACGCCTCTTAAAGTGTAAGAGAATAATTTCTGTTTGTTAAAGCCATCCACTTGTTGGATACACCTTGCTATAACAAGGGTACTTCTGCTACAGTAGTGCTTGATAATGAAGATGGGGCCCACGTCTGATTCCTGGGCATCTAGTGTGACTTACGTCTGCAAGTTTTCTTATCTGGATTCAGGGTAAATCCTTTCAGGCAACGGCAAGAGTAAGAATCCTCTGTGTTAACACACTCATGCTGACATCTGTGATTAGATGAGGCACAGTAGTCTATCTCTGGAAAGAAAGAAAAACAATAATAATGAGGCATATGACTATAAATCTAAAATGAAGCTAAGGGATTTTTCAGTCTTTATTTTTTTCTGAACAGGTAAAATCCTATGATCTTGAAGAATAACACCACAATAAAAAAATCTCTTAATAAAGTTATTTTCACATTTAAGGTTAAAATTCACTCCCTCCGGACTCCCTACCAAACTCTAGTAAGAAAATTCTTTTGACATAGCATAAAATGCATATACAACATATGACGAGGATGAACCTTGAAAATATTTTGCTAACTAAGTCAGACACAAAATTACAAATATTGCCTGAATTACATGAAATATCTAGATTAGGCAAATGCAGAGAGAAAGGGAATTTACTAGTGGCTACAGGGCTAGGGGACTGATTTCTGTTGTTGTGTGCCATAGGGTCGGAACTGACCCATAGCTGACTCCATGGCCCCTAAATCTATTTCCAATATGTAATATAGTAAACACCACCTAATCAGACTTTTAATAAATTTTAGATGAACCAAGACCAGGAAAGTATGTCCACACACTCATTTGTTGTTAATAGTTCTTTATAGTGTGCTATATTAAAATATATAATAAAACATTTTCCATTTTAACAATTTTGAAACATACATTATATTCACTAGGATATGCTACTATCGCCACTGTTTCCAAAGGTTTTTTTTGTCATCTTGGTGGCCTAGTGGTAAGAAGCCACGCTCCGATCTCAAAGGTGCATCATTTCAATCTACCATCTGTTCCATGGGAGAAGGATGGAGAGTCTCCTCCTGTGAAATTTACTGTCTCTGGAAACCTTCTGAAGAGTCTGCTATGGGTTGTGAAAAATGGAAACAGCTCATATGTCCATCAACAAATGAATGGATTGAGAAACTGTGGTACATTCACACAACAGAATACTATGCAGTACTCAAAAGCAATGATTTAAGAAATACTATATAACATGATAATCGGGATGGGAGTGTCAGAGACGGTGCGATTGGCACAGGATAGAACAGCGTTTAGGGCTCTTGTACATAGGGTCGCTATGAGTCGCAAGTGACTTGATGGCACATGACAACAACAACAACAACAACATTATAACATAAGAAAGGACAGAGACTATTATTCTGAGTGAACAAACTCAGGCTTATAAGGAAAAATACTATATAAGACCATTATTGTAAAAATAGAAGGATGATTAGTAAGATGTGTATAAAAGTCCTAGGGGCATGGGGATGGGGCAAGGTGGCTGAGGGTAACAAGGAAGAAAATCACAGAGTCCCAGGGTCTGGTGGGCAGAGGAAGAAAAAAATAGAACTCTGTCACACGTGGAAGACCAAATTTTGTGTGTTATGTTCAGCTGTGGTTGGACATTTGAGCTGTTTCCATGTTCCTGAGATTGTGAATAATGCTGCCATGAACACTGGTGTACAAATCTTCGTTTATGTCTCAGGTCTAATTTCCTTAGGGTATATTCCTTGCAGTGGAATAACTGGGTCATATGGAATTGCGATGTTTAGCTCTTTTAGGAAATGCCAAACTGCCTTCCAAAGTGGTTGTGTCATTTTATAATTCTACAGTGTATGAGAGTTTGAATCTCTCCACATCCTCACCAACATTTAATGCTTGCTGTCCTGTTAAACTGACACTGTGACTGGGGTGACATTGTACCTCATTGAGGTTTTGATATACATCTCTCTTACTGCCAGTGATTTAGAGAGTTTCTTTATATGTCTGTTGGCCATGTAAATGTCTTTCTCTGTGAAAAGTCCATGTCTTTTGCTCATTTTGTATTGAACTATAATTCTTTTTCTTGTAGAGGCCCTGTAGTGTTCTGTAAACTTTTGTTATGAGACCTTTATCTGAGAAATCATTGCCAATTTTTTTTTCCAGTCAGCAAGTTTTCTTTTCATTCTCTTAGAAAAACATTTTTTATGGTACACAGGGACTCAGTCTTTAGAAGGTCCCATTCATCAATGTTATCCTCTCTTGTTTGTGGGTTCTATTTTGATGACTCTTACAAGTTGGTTCTGATGAATACAGTCTTTCTTTCTCTCTTACATTTCATTATTACTGCATACAAGGTCAGTCACGAGAATGTTACTGTAATTCGTTCACTTGTTGCTAGAATTGACTCATCATTGGTTTCAAAGGCTGTAAATTGCACGAGAGGAGACTGCTCATCTTTCTTCCAGGGAACCACGGGTGGATTCAAACAAGTGCCACATTTGAGGTTAGCAGCACACCCCCCCTAAAGACTATGTATGCCACCAGAACGTCCTAACTGTAAGGTATGTACTTAGGGCATGTTGCTAAGAGATTCGATCAAAAAGGACATTATGCTTGGAAAGGTGAAGGGTCAAAGAAAGAGAGAAAGGCCCTCAATGAGATGGATTAACACAGTGACTGTAGCAATGAGCTCAAAGGTGTCACAGATGATGAGGATGGCACAGGACAGAACAGGATTCTTAACTATTGTTCACAGAGTTGCTACAAGTCATACTTGAGTTGACAGCACGTAGCAATAACAACTACATGTTTTTTAAAAAATTCTCCTAAACAAAACAAAAATCCTAGGTGTTAAGTTGGCTCATCACAACTCAAATATGTAGTATGTCAAGGATCATCTTTATTATGTTATACAGCTGAGATTTCAGGAGAAAAGCAGTCAGGGGTATGAACAAGGAATACAGATCACAAAAGAAATAGAAATGTCTAATAATCACATTAAAATGTGTGAGCCCCAAACTACAAAAGAATGAAAAAATATATAAGCTAGAATACAAAAAGAAAGAAACATAGTATTAACGTTACTATTCATTCATTAGATAAATGTTTTCTGAACATCTTCCATGGGGCTAGCACTGGGATCAACAGTGAGCAAATATATACTTTTGCATTCTGGGACATTATGTTATTGCTTTCCTGTTATTCCTTCATACTACTTGTTGTTGTGTGCCATCGAGTTGGAACTGACCCATAGCTGACCAAGGGGTTATCAGATACAGTTAATCGCACAGGAGTAGACTGCCCAGCCTTTCCTGTTGAAAAGCTGGTGGATTCCGTGTGCCTTTGGGATCCCAGTGTAGCTTCTTACCACTAGGCCATTGGCACTCCCTTGGTACTGCTTAATGGATATCAACTGGCAACCTTTCTGTTATTAACTGACTAAAAATGATTTGCACCATCCAGGGATCCTCAGAGACATTACAGGTATCCATTATAATATCTTATATTGGAGGGGATTGCTTACTAAGTAATCACACCAGTAAAAAAAGGCACAATTCTATATGCTGATAGTTTTATGAAGAAAATATCAACAAAATATTATTTAACATTTTCTCCAAGTAAATAAACAAAAGAGAAACTGTAGTTGGCTTAAAGCATTAATGTTGTTTTTGTTGTTATGTGCCGTCGAGTCGCTTGCGACTCATAGCGACCCTATGTACAACAGCCCTAAACTCCGCTCTGTCCTATGCCAATCACACTGTCTCTGACACTCCCATGCCAATTATCCCAGTCACTGAATCAATCCACCTCATAGAGGGCCTTCCTCTCCTGCGCTGTCCCTCCACCCTCCCAAGCATGATGGCCCTCTCTAAGGACCGGTCTCTCCTCACAACATGTCCAAAGTATGTTAGACAAAGCCTCAGAATCCTTGCCTCCAAGGAGCCACCCGGTTTAACCCTTTCCAGGACAAATCTGTTTGTTTTCCTAGCAGTCCATGGTATTCTCAATACTCTTCTCCAGCACCACAGCTCAAAAGCATCAATTCTCCTTCTATCCTCCTTGGTCATTGTCCAACTCTCTGATGCATAACAAGTGATTGCGAAGACCATGGCCTGTATCAGACGCACATTAGTCTCCAGAGAGATACCATTGCTCTTCAGTACTTTGGAGAGGTCCCTAACAGCAAACTTTCCCATGGCAATGCGCCTTTTAATTTCCTGGCTGCTGGTGCCAAGACTGTTGACTATGGAGCCAAGCAAACTAAAGCTGTGTACAATCTCAATCTCTTCACCATCCATCCTGATGCTGTCAATTGGTCCAGTGGTGAGAATCTTTGTCTTTTTGACATTGAGCCTCAATCCATATTGTAGGCTGCAGTCCTTGACACTCTGCAGCAGGCGCTTCAGGTCCTGCATAACACAGGTTGTTGATAAATCATCCACCAATCTTGTCCCCACATTTCTCCTCATAGAGATAATCTGTTCTGCATATAGGTTGAAAAGGTATGGAGATAGGATGCATCCCTGGCGTACGCCCTTCCCAATTTTGAAATGAGACAGTATAAAATGGTACAAAATATTTGGAAAGTAAATTTTTTTAAAATTTTATTTTATTATATTTTGTGTGTGTACCGTCAGATCAGATCTGACTGGTACAGGAGGAAATTGCCCCTCCTTCTCCAGCAGCACATCTGGTGGATCCAAACCATGTGCCTCTGGAATTGCAGTGCAGCTTCTTGCCACTAGGCCACCAGAGCTCCCTTGAAAGTAAATTTTTAATATGCATAAAAAGCCATAAAAATGTTAATAGTAAATGTCCTTTTAGGTTTAGTTCTAAGAAAGTGATCAGAGGGGCAATGAAGAGTTAAATAGGGAATGTTTATTCAATATGATTTAAAATGGCCCCAAACACGCTGAACAAGTGACATGATACATATGTACATCTGATAGAGCATTATGAAGATATTAATGTATTTTGATAAAATTTCAATGGCATGTGAAAGTGTTCATTATTTAATGTTATACAGTATGATTTCATGCTGGAGAGGCATGTGTCAAATGGATATTAACTATGGTTACTTCTGGGAAATTGGATAATAACTCATTTTCACTTTATTCTTTAAGGCTATTTATGCTATCCAGTTTTCCACAGTGAGCACATTACTTTTGCTATCAGAAAAATTATTTTAGATAAACATACTCTTTCCAGAATTTTGAAATTAGTTGCGATGGTAAGCAGATATAATATAGCAGAAAGAACAGTGTGGGTGGT